GGAGTGCCAGAGAGATGCGATGGGACCGAGAGGACTTTTCCAACCACTGTCTTCATCCCAGGGAAAGTGCAGTCGCCTGGGCCCCCCGTGCCCTGCAGAGACATCTGTAAGCCAGGCCACCATCAGGTGAGAGCACAAGGCAGGCACCCATTGTGCCATTTTCTTATTAGACCACTTTGTCTATCTGCAATTTCTGCATTAGCATAATTCCTGGCTCATGAGAATTGCTGAATATTTTTGGAACGAATGAATGAGGGTAAGCTCCTAAATCTTTGAGCCAAAGACTGCAAACAGTGGGGAGGGAGGCATGTTGGGTCCGGGGTATTGGCAAACTGGGTTGCTGTAGGCGTTTGTATTTCCTCCTGCTCCCCATAGGCTCCTGGTGGAGGACGGGACTGCCGAAGCCGTGGTGACCTGTAGGAATCACCATGTAGCAGCAGCACTAGGGCTGTGTCCTACAGAGTGGGCCTCCCTCCTGGAGTCCGTGCGAGTGCCGGGCAGAGTGGGCTTGCAGTTTGCAGGGCCTGGAGCCCAGCTTGAGGTGTGATGTGGCTGGGATGGAGGGACTCAGTATACCCAGATTCCTGGGCTTTTGGCAGAGGATTTAGGAGCTAGTTAACCTTGACCTTCTTTTTCTAGTCCTCAACCAGGGTTGATGAGCCTATGACCATGTTCCTCTGGACACTTTGTACTAGCCCCTCTGTCCTCCGTCCTATTGTGCTTTCTTTTGAGCTGGAAAGGAAACCGTCTAAGATCGTCCCATTAGGTAAGGTTGGAGATGGGGGGATCATGGTAATACAGATAGATGGGTCCCTGGGAGGAAGAGGGATGAGAGACAGATGGGGAATTTCTGGAGTTAGGGAGGAGAATGGTGGGTAGGAACTAAAAGCCACATGCCTGAGATGTGTGTTTTTCTTCTCTTCCCACCTCAGAACCTCCTCGGCTACAGCGATTCCAGTGTGGAGAGCTCCCTTTCCTGACTCACGTGAACCCCAGGCTCCGATTGTCCTGCCTTTCCATCCGAGAGTCAGAGCACTCCAGCTCTCTGGGGGCCCTTGCTTCCTCCTGTTAACTGAACTGCAAGGATGGCCTGAGAGTCCTTCCTTGCTAAAAACCTGAAGGCCTAGGTCCTGGCTCCTCCCCCTACTTGCCCTGTGATTGAACCAAGGACTCCAGATTCACAAACCGCTACGCCACTATAATTTCCCTTTGGTGTTCTGGTGCCAGCCTGCCTTGGCAAAACTGTGGAAACAAGAAATCACGGCACTATTGATATTTCCTCTGACCGGGGACAAGGCATGTGTATTCACAGGTGGCCCTGAGCACCTAGGTTCTGACTTTGTGGCCGGAGCTAAGGGAACAAAAGACTTGCTCGCTGTGGGGATGATGGTGACAGGCCCATTGACCTGCAATGAAGCCCTCTGGTGCATTTCTCACTGGTACTCATCTCTGGGGTCCCAGACCTCCTGACTCCTAGTTGTCCACCTCCTAGGAACTCCTAGTCATTCATCATCATTTCAGCCCTTTGCCGCCAGGGCCAAAGGTGGAAAGTGATTTGGAAGAGAAGAGCTTCTGGTCCAGCAAAAGAAATTATACCAAAGTCAGTCTATAAAGGAAGTAAACTGGGGAGCTGGCAGCAAGGCAGAGAGCATAGCTATGATGGTCTTAGTAAGGCTGGGCCCTGCAGGAAGTCCAATATGAATGCCTAGAGGTGTTCACAAGCACAAAGATGGGGTAGGGGGAGGCAAGTGCCAGGCACGAGGAGGGCCAGGTGAGGACCCTGGGTGCCTGTGCTATAGGGCCCTAGGCTAGGGTCAGTCCTGTAGGTTTCCCAAGGGCCCGGCCTAAGGCAGATCCTTGATCAATGTACCATGAGACCAGAAGGTACTCTAAAATCACAACCACAGAATTAGGGGATCTAGGAGCAGTTCTTTGGAGCTATCCATGCATTTGGCTGGTGTTGCCGCATTTCTTTACTGGGGGCTGATAGGTAGAGAGGTGGAAAGATGAGCTGAGGCACATCTTTCAGAGCTACTGGGAGGCCATTTCTTCCTGGCTATTAGGATTTGTTCATATTTGGGAGACTTTCGGAGCACAGTTAAGCCTGCATGTTGGCTTTTACACACTTTTATGGCAGTAATAGCCTATATTAAGATTCGAGGTAGGTGTGATTAACAACTGGCCGGTTAGCTCAGTTGGTTAGAGCGTGGTGCTAATAACGCCAAGGTCGCGGGTTCGAGCCCCGTACGGGCCAGAGAGTGGTTTATTTTGTAACCTTGTGCTGTTGCCCGGAAGTTTCTGCCCAGAGCCCGTTGCTTTCTGATAACGGAATTACATTGCACCTACTGCTTCTTATTCTCTGAATCACCACCTCTCCCGAAGGTTTGGAAGGGAGGTGCCTCTGAGCACCCAGGTGAAAGGAAGGTTCCCGTGCAACCGCCGCGTCTTTTCTTTCCTCGAAACGTCTTGGTGACAGATGTTTTTCAGTCAAGGGAAGTAAGAAAGGCATTGGATGAAAGTGTAAGAAGAGGCCTTGTAGTCGTGGCCGAGTGGTTAAGGCGATGGACTAGAAATCCATTGGGGTCTCCCCGCGCAGGTTCGAATCCTGCCGACTACGTGAGATTTTTCTGACCGTATTTCTCCTCCAGGACGGGATGATTCAGTCGGCACCCTCCAAACCTCTCATCTAGGAATTCTAGAATCGAGAATTTGATTTGGAGGCTATGATTTTGGTTTGAAATGTATTATTAACTTCTTTCGAAATTGAAGGAAAAACTGGGTCCAGGTTCCCTGCAGTATATTCTTGTAGACGAATTTCAAAATCTTTAAGTGCAGCCTGGGCGCCGTGGCTTAGTTGGTTAAAGCGCCTGTCTAGTAAACAGGAGATCCTGGGTTCGAATCCCAGCGGTGCCTTTATTCAATTGAAATAGCGTAGTTTTGCGGCTGAATCCGCATCCCTTAGTAAATTCATGGATTGTTTTTATATCACAACGTGCAAGAGTTTCTGTTCTGCACTCAGAGCACCCAAATTTCCTACTGAGTCGACTTGCCACTCCCATGAGATCGCCACTCTAAAAGGTGGTTCTCTAACTGGGGCAGAAATGCTGCATAGGCCTGAGGGTACTTTGCCCAACTGGTGTCACACCCTACTGGTGCAGGTGGACTGGGTCTGGCGGCTGCCCTTGACGGAAGAGGCTGCCCACCTTCCAGGCCTCTTTCCCTACGCTAGGACGTTCCCTAGAACCTGAGCCACTTTGTTTTGTTTGGCTCTTCATTATGTTTATTTGGGTTTGGTGGCTTATAATTGTATGTTATATATATAGTATATAATATATATTTATATATACAGTATTTAAAATTTGGCACAGCTTCTAGATGCGGTTCTCTAACTGGTCTTCCACATGCAGTTACCTCCATCCCTCTCCACTAGCAGGATGTCAGGGTAAGGAGTAAGCAGGGATCTGGCTGGCCTGGCCTGGCACCAGGTTTCCTGCAGGAGGGTACGGAAGCCTGAGGCCATGTGGACAGAGACAAGAAAGCATCATTCGGGAGTCCCTAGGAAGCCTGGTATGGAAGGGCAGGGCATGCTTCTGGAGCACTGAAGCTAGGCTGGTTAAGGTAGAAATAAATGCAGGAGAGAAGGCAAGAAATAGGATCTGTGGGGTCTTGGCAGGACCTAAACCTCCTTGGAAGATAGGCAGAAAGCTCTCGACACAATTCCATGGCCCACAAACCAACGTAAGATGGGTCTAAAAGTGGGGTCTATGTATGCACTTTTAAAATAATAAAAGTGTGGGGTATGCAGATGGGATTTCAGGGTATGTGTGAACTCTCTGGATTGTATACATGTCTAGGAAGAGGGCCATAGCTTTTTTTTTTTTTTGAGATGGAATCTCTGTCACCCAGACTGGAGTGCAGTGGCATGATATTGACTCACTGCAACCTCTGCCTCCTGGGTTTGAGCAATTCTCCTACCTCAGCCTCCCAAGTAGCTGGGATTACAGGCGCCCGCCACCATGCCGGGCTAATTTTTGTATATTTAGTAGAGATGGTGTTTCACCATTTTGGCCAGGCTGGTCTTGAACTCCTGACTTTGTGATCTAGCCGCCTCTGCCTCCCAAAGTGCTGGGATTACAAGTGTGAGCCACTGCCCCGGGGGAAGAGGGTCATAGCTTTCATAAGGGTCATAAAGGATTTAGGCCTCCCCTTCTGCAGAGATTAAGTTCTTGAGACCAGGGAAGAAAGAGGTGACTGGATTATTTTGCAGAGAAAGGAAAGCTGGAGCCCAAGGTGGGGGAGACAGGAATTGGAAAAGGGTAGGGATGGGGGAGGAGATGCCAGATCAGCCCTGAGAACCTCTTTACCCGTCCTTAAAGACTTGGGACACTAATGGGAAAGACTGGGCTAACTTCTGCTGCCCTTCCCCACTGTCTGCCCAGCGACACCCGGGAAAGGACAAATAGGAGCTGAATCCTTCACTGAAGGCCCCGTCAATGTATCTATGGGTTGGGCGTTAGGAACGGCCTGGCCCCACAAATCACATACTGGGGTGTAGAACAAAATGGTTCCAGAGATGCTACCAGGCTGGTCCAGGACCGATGCAGGCCAGAACCCCGCTGGGAGGACTCCCCATAACAAGCACTGAGCTGAGGAAAGGCAGAACACGTGGTCTGCTACTGACCCCACCAGATCTTCTGGGACTCTGGGCAGCTCCGGAGTACTGCTAAGTCCCCAAACCAGGTCTACAGGTCTTAGACCACACTCATGCGGCCACTTGCCTCAGAGCCTTAGGGGGGATTTTAGGAGGCAGGCAGGAAGGTCTCCTTCTAGGCCATTCTAGGAAAGGACTGGAGAGCAGAGGTTAGACTGGAGGGTAGGGGTAACCTGATCTTACAGTCCAGAAGCCACGAGACTAGTCGCCTGGCCTTGCGCCCCGCCCCACTGCAGGGTGGAAAGCCTGTCCCACTCGTCACCCAGCTCAATAACGCCCTCCACCGTGGGTCTCCTGGGCCCCAGAAATCGTTCCTGCTTTCCCTCGCCTGGGCACTGCCACGCGGTCTGGGGAACCCGTGGACTATCAACGGCTCTGGCCCGGGATTTGCCCTGCCCGTTAGCCCAGGAGGATAGACAAACACGGGGGACCGGTGTTCCCCTAGTGATTTCAAGGCTCATTAACTGTCTCCGACCCGTCCCGAAAGCAAGCAACTCCACCGCTTCTCTTCAAAGCTCTGCAACGAAGGACAAGGTCCAAGGACCGCAGGCGGAGGAGGGAATTGTCAAGATCCCAGGTTACGGAATGGCATCGAGTCGGTGACCAAAGGAAGCAGGAACCCGGGTGTTCAAGGCAGTCCTGCAGGGCGGCGCGGGGGCTAGGCCGAGGCCACTCCCTCCCACTTCCTCGACGCTATTTCCTGGGAGGAGTTGGAGCTCGCGCCCGGAGCCAAGGCACTCCCAGACCCGTGCTCCAAAATACTAGGCTTGGGGGAGGCTGGTTCCTGAGCGCACGCCAGGACCGTTCCACCATGCATAGTGGACCCAGCACTACAGCTAGCCTGGCACGACCTCTAGGGCGGTTCGCAGTGGCACTCGTACGTCGGCTCGTTGGTCTAGGGGTATGATTCTCGCTTCGGGTGCGAGAGGTCCCGGGTTCAAATCCCGGACGAGCCCTCGTTTACATTTTGCGGAAACGAGAGTGTCTTCAAGGAATGTGTTACCTGACCAGCGCTGCAGGAGGCTTGACTGGAAATCATCAATGTACAGTAAGTTCTTTTGTGGCACCGGGGAAACAGAAAGAATCTCAGTCCCCAGACCCGCCTGGTATGTCAGGAAGAGAGGAGGCACGCCCAGACTTGGACAGGACGCTCCCTTTCTGCCTCCTGACTTCCTGCGTGGTGTCTCAACTCCGCCACCACAGCCTGGTTTCGGTTTGATTGACACCCATCAATCTATAGTTGGGGATGACAGTGTTTGGGAGAGCCCAGGAACTGTCAGAACTTGGTTCTCTGCCGCCCTGGAGGTGCTCTGTCTCTTTCGGTCACTCCATCTGACGATCGGTGCCTGAAATACACCCACAGTTTCTGGTAGGCGTTTCTCAGTGGTTGGAAGAACAGAACCCTTAGGACCTCTGCTGTCAGCAAGCCGAGTGTAAAGTCCCAGAACAAGGATTCCGAGGGTATCGCTGACGGGTCACTCCTCGTTAGTATAGTGGTGAGTATCCCCGCCTGTCACGCGGGAGACCGGGGTTCGATTCCCCGACGGGGAGAAGCCCAACGATTTTGCTTTCATTAAATCCGTCCTGGCCCCTGTCATGGAGCTAGAAAAAAGAGGGAAAGGAGAAGGGGAGGAAAGTTTGGCCTACCTCTCCAGCTCGCATTCTAAGTTTCCATTTTACTTCGAGCAACTTGGAGTTCAAACGTGTACCTAAAGTGGCCACTATCTCCTCCGCTCAATATGTTCATTAGTGCTCAGACTTGATCTAGCTTGCTCCCTCCTTGACGGCAGTGCGCATTTCCAGTCTCTGCTTGAACCTGGGCAAGCAGCTTTGGCCCCCGGCCGTCCAGGGTGCAGAGCCCAGGCTTTTGTTTCGTTTCGCCTCCCTGCGTTTTGTGGATTCGCACTGCGATCCGGGAACAGTAGGCAACCCGGGGCCGAGATTCCGACAGGCTGCTCTCACCTGGAGGGGCTTGCAGGGCGCATCCGCCAGGAGCGCGGTGGTCCAGCAGTGGTCGCAGGTGTAGCGGAAAGCGGGTTCTTTCGGAGAGGAAGGTTCCTCAGGAAAACCTCACGAAAATCCTCAACGATGGTGGGGCCCAGAAAACACGAGAAGGAAAAGAGGGGGGGGGAAAAAAAATCAAACCTTGTTTGCGTTGGCCGGGAATCGAACCCGGGTCAACTGCTTGGAAGGCAGCTATGCTCACCACTATACCACCAACGCTTAGGTACTCCCTGTTTCCTTTCATACCTCATGTTGACTGCGATGAGTCGGGTTGGACCCGTGCGGAGCCAGGGAAACAGCATCAGCGAGATCCAGGTAAAAGTAATGGCTGCTGTCGTCTGCCCGGTGCAATTGTGAGTGACCTTCACCGCTAGTGCGCGCCACTCCACATGAACCTGTAGGGTTATGCCCAGTCTACAGACGAGGAAACCAAGGTCCAAAGAAGTTGAGTCACCGGCAGAGCTGGGATTACATCTAAGATCTCTCCGGGGGCAAGAACTGCAGCGGCACCATGATGATTTATCATCTCCAGGAAAAAAAAAAAAAAAAAGAGTCCTAGACGCATAAAAATCGCTTCTCTGTAAGTGGGCTCAATGAGCTCAATGTGATTCAAGTTAAGGAACTGGGCCCTAAGTCAAATGCGCCTAAACACAATTTGCCTCTTTATTATTTATTCAGAGGATGAATTTAATTCCCACGTACGTGCGCCCACATCTCGTCAGCTGGTGCCTCGCAGAAATGCGCTGACAAATCTTAAAGATGCGGCTTCATGACAAAAGTCCGCCCCTTATTGCTGTTCCAGAGACCCCTCAAGTCACACTGATGGGCAGGCCTCGTGGCGCAACGGTAGCGCGTCTGACTCCAGATCAGAAGGTTGCGTGTTCAAATCACGTCGGGGTCAAACGAAACATCGTTTTCTCTAATCAAATAGATTTACGGTGACATTTTTAGGGACAGGACAAAAAAACCTCAGTAGAAGGATAGGAGGGGAATGAGACAAATGTGAACGTTATTCAGAAGTTGGGTACAATTTCAGTTGGGTACAGACTTTCAGCACTATGTGATATATCCCTGAGGCAAAACTGCACATGTACCCCTAAAGTCTATAAAAGTAAAAATAAATTTAAAAATTAAAAAAATTCCTGTTGTATGGAAATTTTTTAAGAATTTTTTACAATTATTATTGTTTGTTTGTATCTTTTTTCCCTTGAGATGGAGTTTCTCTCTTGTTGCCTAGTCTGGAATGCAATGGCACTATTTCAGCTCACGGCAACTGCTCCGGCCATGGGTTCAAAAGGATTCTCCTGCCTCAGCATCCTGAGTAGCTGGGATTACAGGCATGCACCACCACGCCCGGCTAATTTTGTATTTTTAGTAGAGACGGGGTGTCTCCATTTTGGTCAGGCTGGTCTCGAACTCCCAACCTGTGGTGATCCGCCCGCCTGGGCCTCCCAAAGTGCTGGGATTACAGGTGTGAGCCACCATGCCCAGCCTTTTTAAATGTTTTTAATAATCTCTGCTGTTCTATGTATGTTTACTTAACACTGAACACAAGGATATTAAATACAAATATTACCTTTCTCCAGACTTCCCAGCAGTCACTAGAAGCCCAGGACCATGTGCCTTTTGGCTGCTTCCAGTAAATCGAAAAACAAAACCGGTGGGGCGGGGTGGCTCATGCCTATAATCCCAGCACTTTGGGAGACCGAGGCGGGTGGATCACGAGGTCAAGGTATCTTGGACATGGTGATACAGAGGCAGACAGTTGACCAGTCCTTGCAGAAACGGTGCTTGAAGAACTGCTGATGACCTAAGCAAGGTAACAGCATAGAAACTCTGGCGACCTAAGGCGGAGCTGGCTGTGAGGCTGGCTACCCAGCAGTCCCACCACCATTCTCACTGCCAGGGCAGCCAGATAACCTTGCCTGCTTTAGTTATTTTATAAGGAGATGCAAAATGATCATTTCCTAATTCTATCATTTTGTGTACATTTATTAGCTGAAACACACACACAAATACATTTGTAACAAAATAAACAGGAAATACAGCCAGGTGTGGTGGCTCATGCCTATAATCCCAGCACTTTGGGATACCAAGGAGGGCAGATCACCTGAGGTCAGGAGTTTGAGACCAGCCTGGCCAACATGGTGAAACCCCGTCTCTACCAAAAATACAAAAAAATTAGCCAGGCATGGTGGCACATGCCTGGAATCCCAGCTACTTGGGAGGCTGAGGCAGGAGAATCGCTTGAGCTTGGGAGGCGGAGGTTGCAGTGAGCTGAGATCGTGCCATTACTCTCCAACCTGGGCGACAGAGTGAGGCTTTGTCTCAAAAAAAAAAAAAAGGAAATACACTTACAGTCCTTATTTCTCTAACTGGTCATGTAGTGGCAGCTGATAACTAGCTTCTTCTTTTTTTTTTTTTTTTTTTTTGAGATGGAGTCTCACTCTGTCACTCAGGTACAGTAGAGTGCAGGTGATCCACCTATCTCGGCCTCCCAAAGTGCTGGGATTACAGGCGTGAGCTACCATGCACAGCCATTTTTTTAATATTTTTAGTAGAGACGGGGTTTCATCATGGTGGCCAGGCTGGTCTCGAACTCCTGACATCAGGTGATCCTCCCACCTCAGCTTCCTAAAGTGTTGGGAATATAGGTGTGACCCACCGCACCTGGCCTAAGTAGCTGCTTCTACTACCCATTTTGTCTTTCCATTGTCTTCAGCAAGCCCCTCAACTGGTCCTGGTTCTTTCCCTGGTAGGGAGACCCAAACCTTGTTCCTGAAGGGTCTAAGTCACTAGTAATCCTACCTGAATTGAGTGCTTGTAGTTTTCCACTGACCTTAAAATCTGTATTGGTCTGCTGAGACTACTATATAACAAAATGCCACAGACTGGGTGGCTTAAACAACAGACATCTATTTTCTCACTCTTCTGGAGGCTCAAAGTCCAAGATCAAGATGTTTACAGGGTTTGTGTCTGCTAAGGCCTCTCTTCCCGGCTTTTATACGCTGCCATCTTGCAGTGTCCTCACATGGCCTTTCCTCTGTGCAGACAGGGAAAGAGAGCGCTCTGGAGTCTCTCCCTCTTCTCCTAAGGATGCCAGCCTTGCAGGATTAGGACTTCACTCAAAAGACCTCATTTAACCTTAACTACCTCCCTAAAGGCTCTGTCTGGAAATACATTTACCTTGGGTGTTAAGGCCTTATCATATGGATTTTGGAGGGACACAATTTCATCCATAACAACTACAGAAAAAAATGGTAGAGAAACAATATACATAGATCTAATTCTTGATTTTTTTTTTTTTTTTTTTTTTTTTTTTTAGACGGAGTCTTGCTCTGTCACCCAGGCTGGAGTTCAGTTGTGCGATCTCTGCTCACTGAAAGCTCTGCCTCCCAGGTTCATGCCATTCTCCTGCCTCAGCCTCCCGAGTAGCTGGGACTACAGGCACCTGCCACCACACCCGGCTAATTTTTTGTGTGTTTTTAGTAGAGACAGGGTTTCACCATCTTAGCCAGGATGGTCTTGATCTCCTGACCTCGTGATCCACCCGCCTCGGCCTCCCAAAGTGCTGGGATTATAGGCGTGAGCCACAGCTCCTGGCCTAATTCTTGAAATTTTACACTAGAACTCCACGCCTTTTACTTCATTTTTTAAAAACATCAGAAACAAACAAAGAAAATGTGTTAAGATTTGACTAATTTAATAGTACTCACATAAGTGCCTTTCAAGTGTATGCCTGGACAGGTGTGGCGGTTCATGCCTGTAATCCCAGCACTTTGGGGGCCAAGGTGGGTGGATCACCTGAGGTCAGGAGTTCGAGACCAGTCTGGTCAAAATGACGAAACCCCGTCTGTACTAATAGCCAGGCATGGTGACGCATGCCTGTAATCCCGGGAGGCAGAGGTTGCAGTGAACCGAGATCGCCCCATTGCACTCCAGCCTGGGCAACAAGAGCGACACTCTGTCTCAAAAAAAAAAAAAAAAAAAAGTTTAGCTGGAATGGTGGCAGGCACCTGTAATCCCAGCTACTCGGAAGCTGAGGCAGAAGAATTGCTTGAACCTGGGAGGCAGAGGTTGCAGTGAACGGAGATTGCGCTACTGCACTCCAGCCTGGGCCACAAGAGTGAAACTCCATTTCAAAATAATAATAATAATAAATAAAAAAGAGCTGGGCGTGGTGGCTCATGCCTGTAACCTCAGTACTTTGGGAGGCTGCAGCAGGCAGATCACGAGGTCAGGAGTTTGAGAACAGCCTGACCGACATGGTGAAACCTTATCTCTACTAAAAACATAAAAATTAGCTGGGTATGGTGGCACATGCCTGTAGTCCCAGCTACTTGGGAAGCTGAGGCAGGAGAATCACTTGAACCTGGGAGGCAGAGGTTGTGGTGAGCTGAAATCATGCCACTGCACTCCAGTCTGGGCAACAGAGCAAGACCGCATCTCAAAAAAAAAAAAAAAAAAAAAAAAGATATTTTATAATTTTTTTGTGGTTTATACTTAACATAAATTTTACCATTTTAACCATTTTAAAGTAATTAAGGGTTTCTGGTATATTCTCGTAGTGATGGATCAATAATCACTATTTAATTCCAGAACATTTTAATCACGCCCAAAAAGAAACCCTCTATCCATTGGCACTCACTCTGGATTCCCCCTTCTCCCTCCCCCTAGTCTCTGGAAACCGCTAATCTGTTTCTGTCCCAATGGATTTGCTTATGCTGGATATTATGCTGGATATCGCATGTAAATGCAATCATATAATATGTGAACTTTCTATCTAGCTTTCTTTTCTTTTCTTTTTCTTTTGACTCTTGCTCTGTTGCCCAGGCTGGAGAGCAATGGCACGATCTCAGCTCACTGCAACCTGTGCCTCTTGGGTTTAACAGTTTTCCTGCCTCAGCCTCCTGAGTAGCCGGGACTACAGGCGCCCACCACCACACCCAGCTAATTTTTGTATTTTCAGTAGAGTCGGGGTTTCGCCATGTTGGTCAAGCTGGTCTCAAACTCCTGACCTCAAGTGATCCTCCTGCCTCAGCATCCCAAAGTGCTGAGATGGCAGGTGTAAGCCAGCACACACGGACATTTTTCTTTTTCTTTCTTTTCTTTTTTTTTTTTTAAGAGAGAGGGTCTTGCTGTGCTGCCAAGGCTGGAGTGCAGTAGCATGATCACTGCTTACTACAGCCTCGACCTCCTGGACTTAAGCAAGCCTCCTGCCTCAGCCTCCTGAGCAGTTGAGACTACAAGTGTGCACCACCACATCCAGCTAATTTTTGTATTTTTTGTAGAGACCGGATTTCGCCATGTTGCCCAGGCAAGTCTGGAACTTCTGGGCTCAAGGGATCTGCCGACTTTAGCCTTCCAAAGTGCTGGAACTACAGCCATGAGCCACAGTGCTCAGCTTAGCCTCTTTTGCTCATAGTGTTTTCATGGTTTCCATGAAACAAGATATCAGTACTTCATTCCTCTTAGGACTAATTTGAATTTCTTCCAACTTTTGGCTGTTGTGAATAATGCTGGTTCTGAATATTTATGACACTTCCTTTCAATTTTTTTTTTTTTTTTTGAGCTGGGAGTCTCGCTCTGTCACCCAGACTGGAATGCAGTGGCGTGATCTCGGTTCACTGCAACCTCCGCCTTCCAGGTTAAAGCGATTCTCCTCCCTCAGCCTCTGGAGTAACTGGGACTGCAGGTGCCCGCCATCACGCCTGGCTAATTTTTGTATTTTTAGTAGAGACGGGATTTCACTATGTTGGCCAGACTGGTCTTGATCTCCTGACCTTGTGAGCCACCCGCCTCGGCCTCCCAAAGTGCTGGGATTACAGGTGTGAGCCACTGCCGCCTGGCCCAATTCTTTTTTTTGTTTTTTGTTTTTTTTTTTTTTGAGACGGAGTCTCACTGTCGCCCAGACTGGAGTGCAGTGGCCAGATCTCAGCTCACTGCAAGCTCCGCCTCCCGGGTTCACACCATTCTCCTGCCTCAGCCTCCCAAGTAGCTGGGACTACAGGCGTCCACCACCTCGCCCGGCTAGTTTTTTGTATTTTTTAGTAGAGACGGGGTTTCACCGTGTTAGCCAGGATGGTCTCGATCTCCTGACCTCGTGATCCGCCCGTCTCGGCCTCCCAAAGTGCTGGGATTACAGGCTTGAGCCACCGCACCCAGCCAATTCTTTTACATATATACTTAGGAGTAGAATTGCTGGGCTGTCTCAGATTCCTTGCGCCATAGAGTTCTTCCTCTTGGGCCCCAACGTCCTACTTTAGGGGAGGAAGATTTACTTTCCGAACCTCATCACAAGCTTCAAAGGGATCAGAAACTGCCTGCTAGCACAAGCCTGCGCCCTCTGCTACCACACCTTCTTTTTAGAGATTATTTATCATTAATATTTAATCCTGTAAAGAGTTCCATGATTCCATACACCTTCTAAAATCCTTAGAACATTAAAGGTAAAGCTTAAGTCCCCGTTGATGACCACCCATCTCTGCCTCCTCCCTCCTCTCCACAGAAGAGACAATGGCAATGCAAATACATGAGACATATTTCACTATGTTGATGTGCGGGCGGTTAAAGGTAAATTGATAGATTAAAGAAGCAAATTGGTGTAACCTAGTCCAAACTTGTTCTGAGGCTGCAATGAGCTATGATTGTGCAGTAAGTGTGCATGCCTCGGACAAAAGAGACCTTGTCTTAAAAAAAAAAACAAAATGGGCCAGGCACAGTGACTCACGCTTGTAATCCCAGCACTTTGGGAGACCGAAGCGGATGGATCACAAGGATGGGAGTTCAAGACAAGCCTGGCCAACGTGGTGAAACTCCATGTCTACTAAAAATACAAAAATTAGCCAGGCGTGGTGGCGGGCTCCTGTAGTCACAGCTACTGGGGAGGCTGAGGCAGGAAAATCACTTGAATCCGGGAGGCGGAGCTTGCAGTGAGTCGAGATTGCGCCACTGCACTCCAGCCTGGGTGACAGAGAGACTCCATCTCAAAAAAAAAAAAAAATCCTTTATAATAAACCAGTGAACATTTTTCCCTGAGTTCTGTGAGCCACTCTAGCAAATTCATTGAACATAAAGAGGGAATTGTAGAAACCCCAACTTATACCCAGTTAGTCATGAGGACAGGTAAAACAACCTGAGGCTTGCGGTTGGCATCCAAAGTGAGGGGCAGTCTTGTGGGACTAAGCCCTCAACCTATGGGATCTGATGCTCTCTGCAGGTAGATAGCGTCAGAATCGAATTGGAAGACTCCCAGCTGATGGCTGCTGCAGAACGATTGCTTGCCTGGTGGTGGAGTGAAATCCCCACACATGTGGTCACAGAAGTCTCCTGTGTTGATTGCTGCGGTGTGAGGGCAGAGGAAAAATTGGGTCTTTTTTTGTTTTTTGTATTTTTAGACAGATTCTTGTTGTGTTGCCCAGGCTGGAGTGCAGTGGCGTGATCTCAGCTCACTGCAACACTCCCAGGTTTAAGCAATTCTTGTGCCTCACTCAGCCTCCTGAGTAGCTGGGACTACAGGTACCTGCCACCACAACTGGCTTATTTTTGTATTTTTACATGGGTTTCACTGTGTTGGCAAGGCTGGTCTTTATACCTAGTTAATATGAGGATATGTGAAACAACCTGAGGCTTATGTTGGCATCCATGGAGGGGTAGTCTTGTGACTAAGCTCTCAACCTATGGGATCTGATGCTCTGCAGATAAAGCGCTTGGGAATCGACCCTAAGACTCTCAGCTGATGGGCTGCAGAAAACGATTGTCATTGGTGGTGGAGTGAAATCTCACATGTGGTCACAGAAGTCTCCCAAAGTTGATTATGTGAGGGCAGAGGAAAATTGGTCTTTTTTTGCTTTTTGTATTTTTAGATAGATTTTGTTGTGTTGTTTCAGGCTGGAGTGCAGGGTTGACTCAGCCTACTGCAACACTCCCAGGTTTATGCAATTCTTGTGTTCTACCCAGCCTCCTGAGAGCTGGGACTTATACTCACAATACAACTGGCTTCCACCCCTCAGATGGAGTCTAGCTCTGTCACCCAGGCTGGAGTGCAGTGGTGCGATCTCGACTCCCTGCAACCTCCACCTCCCGGGTTCAAGCGATTCTCCTGCCTCAGCCTCCCAAGTAGCTGGGATTACAGGCTCCTGCCACCACACCCAGCTAATTTTTGTATTTTTACATGGGTTTCACTGTGTTGGCAAGGCTGGTCTCGAACTCCTGACCTCATGATCCACCTGCTTCAGCCTCCCAAAGTGCTGGGATTACAAGCATGAGCCACCATGCCTGGCCAGAACTGGCTAATTTTTTGTATTTTAGTAGTGATGGGTTTCACCATGTTGCCCAGGGTGGTCTTGAACTCCTGAGCTCAGGCAATCCACCCTCCTGGGGCTCCCAAAGTGCTAGGATTACAGGCGTGAGCCACTGTACCCGGCCCGTTTTTTGTTTTTATTGAGACGGGGTGTCACTCTCATGTCGGAGCTGGAGTGCAGTGGCGCAATCATGGCTCACCACAGCCTTGACCTCTGGGCTCTGCTGATTCTCCTGCCTCAGCCTACCAAGTAGCTTGGACTAGAGGCATACACTACCATACCCGGCTAATTTTTTTTGTGTTTTTTGTAGAGACGGGGTTTCACCATGTTGCCCAGACTGATCTTAAACTCCTGGGATCAAGTGATACAGCTGCCTTGGCCTCCCAAAGTGCTGGGATTACAGGCGTGAGCCGCCAAGCCCAGCCATGGTTTGTTTTTTCTACACGGTATGCTTTAAACGGCAAATAGCATTTAGAATGCATTCAGGAAGAATATCTATTGTTCATGTAGGAAAAGTGCTAATGGAAGCACGCAGAGGCTCGACGATGTCATCAAGTCCTGGAGTGCTTTCCAGGCCTCTCTTCTGCCTTCTGCAATGTTAGACTTCAATGTCAAGCTGCTTCCTTCAGTAGCACTAGAAGCAGCAAGGAGGGCTGCATGCTTCCCTGCTCACTTCCAGAAATCCCTTCCTCCATACCATACCCTATACCTCTTTTCATCTATATCCTTCGAAATACGCTTTATGATAAACCAGTAAACGTTAAGTGCTTCCTTGAGCTGCCCAGCATTCTGAGCAAGAAAAGTGATTCCCACTCGCTGGCCCACTGACGTCACATGCTTATATCCCTGATCCATAACCAGAATCTGGAATAAAACCTGTTGATTAGTGTAAGTCAATTGGGACTCATTTCTGGACCTGGAATGGAGTCAGTTTCCTTCTCAAACCCTCAAAACTGTAAGTGCTTTTAGAACTGGGAATAAGGCCGGGCGCGGTGGCTCACACCTGTAATCCAAGCACTTTGGGAGGCCAAGGTGGGCGGATCACCTGAGGTCAGGAGTTTGAGACCAGCCTGACCAATGGGATGAAACCCCATCTCTACTAAAACTACAAAAATCAGCTGGCGTGGTCACATGTGCCTGTAATCACAGCTACTCGGGAGGCTGAGACAGGAGAACCGCTTGAACCCGGGAGGAGGAGGTTGCGGTGAGCCGAGATGGCGCCATTGCACTCCAGCCTGGGCAGCACAGCAAAACTTCGTCTCAAAAAACAAAAAAAGGCCGGGCGCGGTGGCTCAAGCCTGTAATCCCAGCACTTTGGGAGGCCGAGACGGGCGGATCACGAGGTCAGGAGATCGAGACCATCCTGGCTAACACGGTGAAACCCCATCTCTACTAAAAATACAAAAAACTAGCCGGGCGAGGTGGCGGGCGCCTGTAGTCCCAGCTACTCCGGAGGCTGAGGCAGGAGAATGGCGTAAACCCGGGAGGCGGAGCTTGCAGTGAGCTGAGATCCGGCCACTGCAGTCCAGCCCGGGCTACAGAGCAAGACTCCGTCTCAAAAAAAACAAACAAACAAACAAACAAAAAAAACCAAAAAAAAACCTGGTATTTAATTAGGTCTTCATCAACCTAGGGATTTGGGGTTGTCAGCAACAGAAACTACTACAGAAACCGACCGCATAGACTGGAGAGACAGGTGGTCCCCTAAAGGAAAAATAAGAGTGTTAGAAGAAAGGAGAAGAGTGCTGAACAGTACATACTTAACAAGTATCCACTGGTTATTTCATAGAAGGCCCAGAAATGTATTTATTTAACCCAGTAATGAAATCTGAGGGTTAGGAAGAGCAGAAAAGAAGGGAGTGTGGCAGGAAGGAGGAAAAATCAAAGTGGGCCCAAACAACATGGCAGCTAACAGAGATCTTGCAAGGAAAGGTCTACTGGTGGAAAACTCCTCCCAGGAATGTCAGAACTTTTAATAATGACATAGTAATGACACAAGAATAAACACACAGCCAAATGAGCAAAAAACAGAATACAAAGTCTAGAAATAGACACAAGTAAATATGCTAACATTATATATCAAGGGCAGCATTTAAATTCTGTTGGGGTAGTTTGTTTAACAAATGGTGTTGACATAACTGGCTCTCCATCGCGCAGAAGTTAGACCCCAGCTCATACATGTATAAGGATAAACTCCAGTTATATTAAAGATTTAATTATTTTTATAAAAAGAAGAAGGCCGGGCGCGGTGGCTCACGCCTGTAATACCAGCATTTGGGGAAGCCGAGGCGGGTGGATCACCTGAGGACAGCAGTTCGAGACCAGATTGGCCAACACAGCGAAAACCCGTCTCTACCAAAAATACAAAAATTCCGGGCGCCTGTAATCCCAGCCACTCGGGTGGCTGAGGCACGAGAATCGCTTGAAACCGGGAGGCAGAGGTTGCAGCAAGCCGAGATAGCACCACTATACTCCAGCCTGGGCGACAGAAAGAGACTCTGTCTCAAAAAAGGAAAGGGGAGGGGAGGGGAGGGGAGGGGAGGGCAAGTAAAGAAAAGAAAAAGCAAGATAATTCACTGGGGGAATGTGGGGAAACCTTCCTAAGCTGGAATCCAAGCGTGCGCCCTTCTCATTCCGCCTCTTCCGTTGGGTTCCCATTACTTACGTCACAGGACATCGAGCCAATGGGAACTAGGCATGGGTGACGAGCTCACCCAATGGGGCCGGGGCGGGAGATTTGAAAGGTCCTCGGCCAGGGCGTGGCGTGGCAGATTCAGTTGTTTGCGGGCGGCCGGGAGAGTAGCAGTACCTTGGACCTCAGGTGAGCTGGCCTCCTGTCGCAGGCCTTGCGCCAGGAGTGGGCAGATGATCAGGCAGATCAGAGGGTCCGTTGGGCTGGCCTGCGCGCACACTGCAGGGCTGGAAGGAGGTAGGGATGATAGCAGGGTGGGGGCGGTGAGACCAGCGCCCGGATTGGAGCTAGTGTGCTGACCTGCTCCCTTTTACCAGCTCGGGCTAGCGCTTCCGGCTCGATCGGTCCAACCCCTCCCTCTCTCTCTCTTTCTCTGCTTCTCACGGCTGTTTCCCTTCTCCGCCCAGCTCTCCTCCCCCTTTCCCTCTAAGGATGGCCCAGAAGGAGAACGCCTACCCCTGGCCCTACGGCCGGCAGACGGTAAGGCCCTTCCCTCCTTCCCCGCGCCCACATGACCCCGCATGGCGAGTTCCTGCTGGGAAACTTGAGATCGTGCAAAGAGCAATCCCTTATGCACTTTCTTTCCCGTTATGCTCCAAAGTACGCGCCCCAAGTTTGATGACAGAACCTGGTCTGGGCATTTGTAGCCACATCCTGTCAGGTGCTGTCAACTTGAATCTGACCAGCCAGTGACTACCAGCCGGTGAGGGCCTCTGCAGGGTTCATCACACACAAGTGATATCTGGGACTGAGCAGGCAGGGCCTGGCCTTCCCAACCCATGTCCTGAAAAAAAATAAACTAGACAGCAAACATAAATAGACTCTAAAAGGATATAAAGTTACTGTTTAAAAGGTCCAGGGCAAGTCTAAATTATAATTTGGAATTAATGAGTAAGGTGAGGTAAGGATCTCAATGAATCTAAATGGATTTATTTCCCAATTGTCCAGACAGATTTCATTGAGGGGCCTCCTCTCTGATTTGAAATGCCACCTTTATTATATATATAAATTCCCACATATATGTGGGTCTATTTCTGGACTGTATTTTATTCAACTTGCTTATTTGTAGATCTGTACCAATATCACTATTTGGGAAGAGGTTTTTAGGGGCATAGGGGCTTTCTTCTCTTGGCTGAAGAAGAAGGAAGGGGCCCTGCACAGGCTTTGTTCCGTGTTTGTGGAGCTCGGGCTTCCTGGAGAATCTGTCTGTGCCCTTGTTCATCAGCTCCCTCCCTCACGGAGCACCGAGTGAGGCTGTCAGGAATGGAGTCTGAATGAGAAACCATTGTCACTTTTACCTTGGTCACTCCTAAAAGAAAGTGTATCTATTATTTTGAGAAGCTGAAAGTGAGGCCAGGTGTGGTGGCTTATGCCTGTAATCGTGGGAGGCTGAGGCAGGTGGATCACCTGAGGTCAGGAGTTCGAGACCAGCCTGGCCAACATGGTGAAACCCTGTCTCTACTAAAAATACAAAAATTAGCTGGGCGTGGTGGCGGGCGCCTGTAATCCCAGCTACTCGGGAGGCTGAGGCAGAAGAATTGCCTGAACCTGGGAGGTGGAGGTTGCAGTGAGCCGAGATGGCGCCATTGCACTCCAGTCTGGGTAATAGAGCAAGACTCCATCTCAGAAAAAAAAAAAAAAAAAAAAAAGAAGGTGAAAGTGAGAAGTGGTCCAGGGCCATCAGAGTAGCTCTTAGTGTCCTTAAAGGCTGTTCTTGCAAAGGTGTAACCCCTGGTAATTCCTATAACATTCAAGGCCTCAAGCTTCTTATCTAAGCCTTAATAAACTAAGCTTTTTAGGAGACTTTGAGAATGCCTCTGTCTAAACCCTTTGAATTGTGGGTGTTCACAGTAGAGACCCAGCTCTCTACTGTGGTGTAGGTGAGAGGCTGGATGAATGGCTGTGGTGTTATGGACAGGACTTATACAAGTTGAACAGCTTCATACCTGAAAAGTGTGGGCCAGGGCCAAAGAAGTGAAATGTTAGGTGTTGGTGTGAGTCTTTTGCCCCTTATCTTAGGCCTACTTAGGTTATTTTTTTATTTTTTTATTTTTATTTTTTAGAGACGGAGTCTCACTCTGTCGCCCAGGCTGGAGTGCAGTGGCGCAATCTCAACTCACTGCAACCTCTGCTGCCCGGGCTCAAGCGATTCTCCTGCCTCAGCCTCCCAAGTAGCTGGGATTACAGGACCCGCACCCAGCTATTTTTTTTTTTTTTTTTTTTTTTGAGACGAAGTCTAGCTCTGTCGCCCAGGCTAGAGTGCAATGGCACAATCTCAGCCCACTGCAACCTCTGCCTCCTAGGTTCAAGCGATTCTGCTGCCTCAGCCTCCTGAGTAGCTGGGATTACAGGCACTCGCCACCACGCCCAGCTAATTTTTGTATTTTTAGTAGAGTGGGGTTTCACTGTGTTGGCCATGCTGGTCTTCAACTCCTGACCTCGTGATCCGCCTGCCTCAGCCTTCCAAAGTGCTGGGATTACAAGCGTGACCCACCACACCCAGCCGCACTGGGCTAATTTTTTGTATTTTTAGTAGAGACGGGGTTTCACCATGTTGGCCAGGCTGGTCTTGAACTCCTGACTGCGTGAGCCACTGCACCCGGCCCTAGGTTGTTTATTAATAACCCATTTTAACATGGGACTGTGAGCAGAGGCTGGGAGGCAAAGCTGTCACATCAGTGTTTCTCTTTGAATTGGGGGTGGGCGGGTGGGTGGCTCTTTAGCAAGGGGCTGAAATACTGCTTGCAGCACATTCCACCCGGGTCATCAGACAAAGGCACCCTCAGAGCTACCCCCTGCTCCTTCTCAGGCTCCGTCTGGCCTGAGCACCCTGCCCCAGCGAGTCCTCCGGAAAGAGCCTGTCACCCCATCTGCACTTGTCCTCATGAGCCGCTCCAATGTCCAGCCCACAGGTACCTGGGGCAAGGGGGAGAGGACTGACCTGGGGAGATGAGCGTCTATGGGAGGGTTTAGGGATGAGAAGGTCATCCCTGTTCTCATTCAACTTACCTGTTGTCTCCTTAGCTGCCCCTGGCCAGAAGGTGGTGGAGAATAGCAGTGGGACACCCAACATCTTAATGTAAGTGCCTCAAGCCTTGGGGTGGAGGGAGGTGAGGGGACGGTGAATGGGCAGGAAGCCGGGAAGATAAAACCTAAGGGCAGGAGGAGTAGAGATGAAGAGAAGTGGGGCGGGGGACAGGATGAGACAAGGAAGCGGAGAGAAAGCAAACCTCTTAATAACCAAAACCGGTTCTGAGTTGCCTTCCCCCACTTTCTAAGCAGGCGGCACTTCACAATTGATGACTTTGAGATTGGGCGTCCTCTGGGCAAAGGCAAGTTTGGAAACGTGTACTTGGCTCGGGAGAAGAAAAGCCATTTCATCGTGGCGCTCAAGGTCCTCTTCAAGTCCCAGATAGAGAAGGAGGGCGTGGAGCATCAGCTGCGCAGAGAGATCGAAATCCAGGCCCACCTGCAGTATGGGTTGATGCCCCCTGAGCCGAAGCCCCTCTGCTCCCTGACCCCAGCTCCTCACTCAGCCCTACCTCCTCACTCAGCCCTACCTCATCCAGATTGCTTTCTCTGTAGCTACGGCTAGTGAGCCCCATTTAGCCCTTAGTCCTGGCCAGAGCCTTGAATCCAGAAATCTGCCTCCAGTTTCCCTTTCCCACTCCCATTCCTGGTGTCCCCTGCCTGGGCCACGTCTGACCCCAGTTTGCTCCTATTAATCTTTCCCAGCTCTTTTATGCCTTTGGCCTGAGGCCTCCTCTGTTTCTTCCCTCAGCCATCCCAACATCCTGCGTCTTTACAACTATTTTTATGACCGGAGGAGGATCTACTTGATTCTAGAATATGCGCCCCGCGGGGAGCTCTACAAGGAGCTGCAGAAGAGCCGCACATTTGATGAGCAGCGAACAGCCACGGTCCGGGCGGGTGGGCACCTGGGCCGCCAGTAGGGGGCTGGAGGCTGAGGGTGTGCTGCTTGTAGCTGGAGGTCCATCCTTGTCTGATTGCCTGTCGTTGCCCCTCCCAGATCATGGAGGAGTTGGCAGATGCTCTGATGTACTGCCACGGGAAGAAGGTGATTCACAGAGACATAAAGCCAGAGAATTTGCTCTTAGGGCTCAAGGGAGAGCTGAAGATTGCTGACTTTGGCTGGTCTGTACATGCGCCCTCCCTGAGGTATGGTGGCCTGGGAGGCCAGCCCTAGGTGTGAGGCTGGGCCATTAAAACCTCTCCAGGGGCCGGGCGTGCTGGCTCAGGCCTGTAATACCCGCACTTTGGGAGGCCAAGGCCGGCGGATCACCTGAGGTCAGGAGTTCGAAACTAGCTTTGCCAACATGCTGAAATCTTGTCTCTACTAAATATATAAAAATTAGCCGGGCGTGGTGGCGGACACCAGTAATCCCAGCTACTTGGGAGGCTGAGGTGGGAGAATTGTTTGAACCTGGGAGGCGGAGGTTGCAGTGAGCCGAGACTGCGCCATTGCACTCCAGCCTGGGCGGCAGAGTGAGGCTCCTCTCAAACAAACAAAATGGTTAGAGTGTGGTGCTAATAACCCCAAGGTCACGGGTTTGATCCCCGTAGGAGCCAATGGTAAAACTTTGGCCAGGTGTGGTGGCTCACGCCTGCCAATCCCAGCACTTTGGGAGGCCAAGGCAGGTGGATCACTTGAGGCCAGGAGTTCAAGGCCAGCGGACCAGCCTGGCCAACATAGCGAAACCCCATCTTTACTAAAAATACAAAATTTATTAAGCAGACAAGGAGATGCACACTTGCAATCCCAGCTGTGCAGGAGGCTGAGACATGAGAATCACTTGAATGCGAGAGGCAGAGGTTGCAGTGAGCCAAGATCGCCCCACGGCACTCCAGCCTGGACTCTGTCTCAAAAAAGCCCGGAGCAGTGGCCTTTTTTTCCTCCCACATCATTTTTTAACGGTTTCATAGTATCACACAGTAGCTGATTTATTTAAGCAGAACATGCCTGATGGGCATTAGAGATGTCCCCAGTGAACTCCAAAATGAACTCCAAATGAACACTGCCCTCATAGCGGAGTATCTTATTAAGACATCTTGGGCCAGGCGCGGTGGCTCAAGCCTGTAATCCCAGCACTTTGGGAGGCCGAGACGGGCGGATCACGAGGTCAGGAGATCGAGACCATCCTGGCTAACACGGTGAAACCCCGTCTCTACTAAAAAATACAAAAATCTAGCCGGGTGAGGTGGCGGGCGCCTGTAGTCCCAGCTACTTGGGAGGCTGAGGCAGGAGAATGGCGTGAACCCGGGAGGCGGAGCTTGCAGTGAGCTGAGATCCGGCCACTGCACTCCAGCCTGGGTGGCAGAGCGAGACTCCATCTCAAAAAAAAAAAAGAGCGAGACTCCATCTCAAAAAAAAAAAAAAAAAAAAAGACATATCCTGGCCGGGCGCGGTGGCTCAAGCCTGTAATCCCAGCACTTTGGGAGGCCGAGACGGGTCACGAGGTCGGGAGATCGAGACCATCCTGGCTAACACGGTGAAACCCCGTCTCTACTAAAAATACAAAAAACTAGCTGGGCGAGATGGCGGGCGCCTGTAGTCCCAGCTATACGGGAGGCTGAGGCAGGAGAATGGCATAAACCCAGGAGGAGGAGCTTGCAGTGAGCTGAGATCTGGCCACTGCACTCCAGCCCAGTCGACACAGCGAGAATCCATCTCAAAAAAAAAAAAAGACATATCCTTCAGTGTGGAGTTGCTGGGGCTGTGTGCAGGCTTACCTCTGGGGCTTTCAGATGTGTCATCACCCCAACCCCACCCCCACTCCAGTAGCCCTGCCTGGCTGGACCTCTCCCCTGGTACCTCCCGTGGTCTTTTGGCTCCCTGCCATCAGGTAGCAGGGAAAGGAGAGTTCCTATGTCACTGGGACCCCTGCTCATGCCCCTTATCCCTCCCAGGAGGAAGACAATGTGTGGCACCCTGGACTACCTGCCCCCAGAGATGATTGAGGGGCGCATGCACAACGAGAAGGTGGATCTGTGGTGCATTGGAGTGCTTTGCTACGAGTTGCTGGTGGGAAACCCACCGTTTGAGAGCGCATCACACAACGAGACCTATCGGCGCATCGTCAAGGTGGGAGGGCGGCCTGGGCTTCGTGCCAGCTGCAGAGGCCAGGGGCTGCGGGGCTGGGGGTGGGCAGAGTGTATCTGCATGGCCCTAAGTAACTCCAGACAGAATGGGTAGTCAAGGAAGATGTAGCCAGGGTGAAAGTAATGCAGCCCTTCCATCTCTTCACACCTGCAGGTGGACCTAAAGTTCCCCGCTTCTGTGCCCACGGGAGCCCAGGACCTCATCTCTAAACTGCTCAGGCATAACCCCTCGGAACGGCTGCCCCTGGCCCAGGTCTCAGCCCACCCCTGGGTCCGGGCCAACTCTCGGAGGGTGCTGCCTCCCTCTGTCCTTCAATCTGTTGCCTGATGGTCCCTGTCACTCACTGGGGTGTGTCTGTGTTTTGTATGTTTGTGTATGTATAGGGGAAAGAAGGGATCCTGAACTGTTCCCTTATCTGTCTTCTACCTCCTCCTTTGTTTAATAAAGGCTGAAGCTTTTTGTACTGATGAGTGTAGATGTTTCTAGGTGGAGGCTTTGCTGTGGAGGAAGCTGTTCCCTAGAAGGAGAGGTGGCTTACCCTGAGAAGCTGGGATGAGCATTACTTTGCTATCCCTGGTAACACCCTACCCTCTCAGCTCTGACACCCACCTGGTCAGCTCCCAGCCACCCCCACTTTCACCTCTACCCTGTCTGTTCTTTGCATTGCTCTGACTCCCAGAACCCGGGGGCACTGGGGGCCCTGGCTCCCCACTGCTACACTGGAACACCAGCCATCTCTGGCCACCTTCTTTCACCTCTTTCTTGGTTGTCCAACTTCTAGTTTTTCCTTCTCTGTTTCATTCTCTGCCCCTTTGCCAGTGTAGGAGCAACCGAAAAATTCTGTACCCTAGAAACTGTCTTTGATTCTTTTACTGCTCTGGTCAGGATCTAGTACAGGAGCCAATAGAAGCAGTACTGATTCTGTCTTGTTCCTGACACGAGGTTTCACTGTCATGTATGATGCTTGCTGTAGGTTTTTGATAGATGCCCTTTATTAGGTTAAATAGGGCCTATTTACTCCTAGTCTCAGTCTTTTAAAAAAAAAAAAAAAAGTTAAGTCCAGATGCAGTGGCTCACGCCTGCAATCCCAGCACTTTCAGAGGCCGAGGCGGGTGGATCACGAGGTCAAGAGATCGAGACCATCCTGGCCAACATGGTGAAACCCCATCTCTACTAAAAATACAAAAATTAGCTGAGCATGGTGGTGCGTGCCTATAATTCCAGCTACTCAGGAAGCTGAGGCAGGAGAATCGCTTGAACCGGGGAGGTTTCAGCGAGCCCAAATTGCACCAATGCACTCCAGCCTGGTGACAGAGCAGGACGGAGCCTCACCCTGTGGTCCAGGATGGAGTGCAGTGGCCTGATCTCGGCTCACTGCAACCTCCAACCTCCTCTTGGGTTCAAGCTATTCTGCCTCAGCCTGCCGAGTAGCTGGGATTACAGGCCTATAATTTACAGGCTATAATTATAGCCTATAATTTTTAATATGGATATCCCTAGGTTTTTTTTTAAAGCCCTTCTACTGGATGGACATGCAGATTATTTCCAGTGCTTTGCACTGTGGCCAGTGTCTTTTGAGTGACTCCTGTGCACCTTTGTGATGCTCTCTTGTTGTCCTCTAGGGGACATCTAAAGAAAGACATGGTAATGGTGAGTACAAGTATCTAGAGAAAGACACGATAATGCTGGGTACACGCAGGTAAACGGTCTATAGACATCACCAAAAATGCCCTTCTAAGTGGTGGACAGTTTACACTCCCGCAGGCCATAATGAAGGAAACTTTCCCACAACCATAACGCTGACTCCTACTCCTACTGTTACCTGCGGGTAAGTCTGCAGCTATCCGGGAAACTCCGGAGTGGCAACTCTGCAGCAACCTCACTCCTCTGTCTTCTCGATGGCAATCATTCAAACGAGATAAAAGCAAGGATTTTGTTTTTTCTCAAGACGGAGTCTTGCTCCGTTGCTCAGGCTGGAGTGCAATAGCGCGATCTACAGCCGTGAGCCACCGTACCCGGCCAAAGGCAAGGTTTAAGGCAGAAGGGAGAACTGATTTTGAGCAAAGTGATAGTTTACTACAAAAGACATTACACTTAGAAGAGGACCAGGCTGGCGACTTGAAAAAATCAAGTGCCCCTTCCTTTTCTTCAGAGTTTTTATACCCTCTACCTTTTCCGGCACGCTCTGTCTCCTTTTGTTCTTTGAGCCGGCTGTGGTTTAATTGTCGCAGGCGCAGTGGCCTGCCGGCATTCGGGGGAGACCGCATGCGCAGTGTGTTTACCGAAGTCCAGCGCATGCTCTTTAGGGTCAATTCGCCCTTTCTGGTCCAGCGCCCCCACAGGAAGGTTAGATGCTGATCAAATTCAACCATTTTGCCTTTTCACTGCACATGCTTAAAACCTTACTGCAGAGGCTTAAAACATTATAGGGGTGATGGCTTGCTAACTCAGGTGTTTCCTCTGTTGCAAGACTCCTCTCATTCCCGGCGCCAGCGATGGCCATTTATTATCTCAGACGGCTAGTTAGTTGTATGCCTTCACTCGATGAGAACCAGACAGCTCTGGGGTTCTTCTCTTGTCCTGCTCGTTAGGTAAGAGGGACAGATTTCTAATCGCTCGACCATGACTTGACAAATGCCCAACATACCTGGAGGCCCTCTTTCCTGCCCTCATGTCTAACTACCTACTCTAACACTACAAAGCATCCCCAATAGATCGGCTTTTCTGCTCCCCAAAACACCAAAGCTCCCCACAGCTCCTACACTCATGATCCCCCCTCTTCTCTGAGAAAGAGCAGAACCAAAAGGGGGTCTTTTTTTTTTTTTTTTGAGACGGAGTCTCGCTCTGTTGCAAGGTTGGAGTGCAGTGGTACAATCTTGGCTCACTGCAACCTCCGCCTCCCGGGTTCAAGTGATTCTCCTGCCTCGGCCTCCAGAGTAGTTGGGATTACAGGTGCCCGCCACCACACCCGGCTAATGTTTTTGTATTTTTGGTAGAGACGGGGTTTCACCATGTTGGCCAGGATGGTCTCGATCTCCTGACCTCGTGATCCACCCACCTCGGCCTCCCAAAGTGTCAGGATTACAGGCGTGAGCCACCGCGCCCGGCCGCTAATTTATTTATTTATTTATTTATTTATTCATTTATTTATTTTTTGAGACGGTGTCTTGTTCTGTTTCTCAGGCTGGAGTGCAGTGGCGCGATCTCCGCTCACTACAAGCTCCGTCGCCTCCCGGGTTCACACCATTCTCCTGCCTCAGCCTCCCGAGAAGCTGGGACTACAGGCGCCCGCCACCACGCCCGGCTAATTTTTTTTTTTTTTTTGTATTTTTAGTAGAGACGGGGTTTCACCGTGTTCGCCAGGATGGTCTCGATCTCCTGACCTCGTGATCCGCCCACCTCGGCCTCCCAAAGTGCTGGGATAACAGGCATGAGCCTCTGCGCCCGGCCGCTGATTTACATTTTTAAAGGATCATTCTGGTTCTCTATTGAGAATAGACTGTAGAGAGGTGAGGGTAGAAGTGACTCCATTTGGGAAGCAACTTCATTTACCCAGGCCAAAAATGATGATGGTTTGGACCAGGACAGAAACAATGGTAAGGATGAGAAGTGGTCAGATTCTGGATGTATTTTCGAGCAGAACCAACAAGATTTCCTAAAGGATTGGGCATAGATTATGACAAAAAGAGGAGTCAAGTACAACTCCAGGGTTTTTGGCCTTAGTCACTGGGAAGATGGAGTTGCCATTTACTGAGACAGAAGTCACCGTAGGAAGAAACAAGGTTTTGCCGGGGAGGTGGTGCGATAGGGGTGGGGCAAGGAACCAAATCACAGGAAGGATAAAGGTGGGGCTATCTTCAGGCTGGCACAGGATTTCAAACGCTCTCAGAATTCATGCCTCTTCATCTTTCGTCTTTGGTTCTCTTCCTTATCAGCCTCATTCTTTCCTTCTACAGACAGTTATCTCCTGGACATGAAAGATGGAAAAGCTCATACCCACCTTGAGTTCTCAAGAGAACAGAAAGGCGTCTCACACTGTCCACAAAGCTAGAAACAAACAAACAACACTGTGGAGGATTTTTACTGGTCATACCTTGGGTCATGTGCTCTTCCCTGCGCCAATCAGCAGTCAGAAGGATGAAGTACTCTAATTGGCCAGGTTTGGGTCACGTGCCTGTCCCTGGCTGTCATTGCACCAACAACTCAGGGAATGGAGAGTTGGGGAGTGAGAAGCTTCCCCTACACAGACAGAGGGTGGGTAGCCCATTTGTCCGCTAAAAACTGCAAGATACAGGCTCACGCCTGTAATCCTAGCACTTTGGGAGACCGAGGCGGGCGGATCATGAGGTCAGGAGTTCAAGACCAGCCTGATCAACATAGTGAAACCCGGTCTCTACTAAAAATACAAAATTAGCTGGGCATGGTGGCACGCGCCTGTAATCCCAGCTACTCAGGAGGCTGAGGCAGGAGAATGCTTGAACCTGGGAGGCGGGGGTTGCAGGGAGCCAAAATGGGGCAACACTGCCCCCCCGGAAAAAAAAAAAGAAAACCAAACAAAAAAAAAAAAAAAAAAAAAAAAAAAAACCTTCCAGATACATCTAGAATGTATCCATCCACATCATGCTAGACTGAGCTACTATCACCTGGTACTTGGAACCACCTCCTCACTAGTCTACTGTCTCCCTTGCAAACATTTTCTACAACAGCCTATAATCCCTAAACATGAATCCCATCACATCACTCTCTTCCTGTGCTCAGCTTCCCATTTTCAAGGGAAGGCCTCCCATCTTCTAAAGAATATCTACCTACCCAGCCCAATATATAAGCTTTTCAGGTTTTGTTTTGTTTTGTTTTGTTTTTTAGAGCAAAGGAATGACGGGTTTTGTCAAGCTCCAGGTGACTATAAGATACAGACAACTGACAACTGTGGACTCCTCAGGCGTGGTGAAACAGTGAGCTACTATCATTAGGGTTGGCTGGCTAGGACCCTGGCAGGCACCTGGGGTAGTAGTGCTGGGAAGTTCTGGGGAGTTTCACTTCTGAATGTTGGCATGACACTGCCTCAAGACATCTCTCTATCCAAATGGAAAAAACAACAACATCCTTTGTCAGCTAAGGAGAGTTAGCAAACTGTTTTTATTAAATACAGATGTCTGATCGGGCACGGTGGCTTACGCCTATCATCCTAGCGCTTTGGGAGGCCGGTGGATCACTTGAGGTCAGGAGTTTAAGACCAGCCTGGCCAACATGGTGAAACCCCGTCTCTACTAAAAATACAAAAATTAGTCGGGCGTGGTGGCGGGCGCTTGTAATCCCAGCTACCTGGGAGGCTGAGGTAGGAGAATCGCTTTAACCCAGGAGGCGGAGGTTGCAGTGAGCCAAGATCGCGCCACTGCACTGCAGCCTGGGTGACAGAGTGGGACTCCGTCTCTAAACAAACAAACAAATAAATAAATAAAAATACTGA